GACGTCAGAAGTAGAGATACTTGCTGGTGATGGAGGAATCAATAGTAAAGTTGCAGAGTTTAAGTTTGTCAGCATGATAGGAAACAGCCCAATACTCTGAGTTTTCAATATAAATGTATATATATTATATACATATATTTTAGGGAAAATAATTTTTTGTCATGTTAATAAGTAAGGAAACCAATTTTAGTCTCAAGGTATTTAAAAATATTTTAGAGGGATTTCAGAAAAAAATATTTGACAGCCTTTTTAGATGTTTTGGCCTAGGCTTTATTTAATACCCACCAACTAAACAACAAACTCCTCAAGATAATTAGGTTTCTTTTAAGTGCAGCTGTAATAACTGGCCAAGTGATATTTTAAGTTTTGCTTCATTTCTGAAAGGCAAACCTGTATTTTAATCCTCAGAACCCCCACACCCGACCCCCGAGAAAGTTAGATAAATGGATAAATAGACAGATGGATATACACCAACGCACTGGCTGTTTTACCTGAAGGAAAATTGGAAAGCAGTTTCTTTGAAGACAGAACCTTATAAAATTGCAATATTTGTAGGTTAAAACCACCGGATTGTGTCAATGTTTTATGTTTTAACCTAACAGAATATACATCTCAAGCACTTGAAGTTTTGTTTGCATTTACCAAGCATTTAGAACTTTGTGCAAATCGCCAACCGTGCAGTTCCTGAAATATCTCTCTCAAAGTGAAGTCGCATACCTTGAGATCTTGTTGGTGCTGTTGAATCCTATGTGCTTGATTTCTTTAAAAACTCCTTAGTCTTCATGCAGCTATTAAGCAGCAGTAATAAAGCCCTTGTTTGTCCACATGCCAACCCTCTCATTTGGCCAGCAAGTCTCTGGCTTGAAACCCCATCCTGGGCTCTTGTCCACTTTCTGTGAGTCTCCTCATCCCCTCCCTTTTCTTAGCCAGCACTCTGGACGACAGTCAGAAATCAGAAGGGCTCTATTTCCTTAAGCAAGTCACTTCTTTCAGTGTTTCTGGAATTGCTTTGGTGGAATGGCTTTTAAATTGATGACCACAGTCCACGGTAAGAAATACATTTTACATAACCATTGAGTCTACGAGTGGTGTGTGTCTCCAAACTCAAAAGTTGCACAAAACAATCTTTACTCTTAGAAAATGCGACGACCTCTGATGCTTTGCAGTCTCCTTTATTTCATTTCTTAAAAGGTACTTCGTGTGACCCGCTAAATTGATTCCACAACCCACTAATGGGTGGAGACCCATAGTTTGAAAAACACTGCTTCAGTGTACTTGATTCAGCCCAGAAATTTTAAGTTTGGCAGTCAATCACAGCTTTGCTTATATCGGCAGGAAAAGGTAGGACTATTCATTGCTAGGAACATGGTAAAAGCATCCTTTGGCAGCTTTCAGACTTTTTAATAGCAGTGGAATAAACAGGTATTCAGTCTATTAATGGAAGAGTGTCTCAGCCAAAAAATAACAAGGAGTTAAAAAAAATTACTCAGAAGGTAAATGGAATTCCACAGATTCTAGTTTTAGAACTGTCCTTTCAAGTCCAACTCTTAACTGATAACAAAAGAGGGTTGGTTGGCCTGTTTTCCAGGTAGTAAGGAATGTAGGTATTTCAGATGCAGGCAGTGGAAAAGAAAACTCATGATGTTGATTTAGAAAACTTCCCTCTGCAGCGGCCAATCATGCCTCATGTCTTACCAAGACCAGGAACTGAGTCTTCTCTGGGCTTCTAGCCACTTGCCATCTCATGGCCTTCCCTCAGCCTTCCTTTCATTTCCTTTGGCCACAACTTGTTCTGCTCTGGCCACCTAGGTGAAAATTTGTTTTCTAGATATGGGACAAACTAAAAGGTGTTCTTAAAACCTAAAGAAAATTGTGTTATCAGGTTCCTGATACCATGATGTATTAATGTACCAAATCAGAATCTGATTCAGTACGACTTAAGAGCCTCAGCTTTTGTGAAAACTATACATGTAGAGAAAATCGAAGATAAGTGCACGGGAAATTCTATGCTTGGCAGTTTTCATTAGTTATATGAGTAAACATTCTCTTCTCCTCTTGGTCTTTGGCTACTGGTGTTTCCTTTTTAAGCTCATGACAAAGTAGGATGAGAATTTATCAGGTGACGACAGCAGAGAGTGGACTGGATGTAATCAGCCCAGGAGCTAGATTTTAATTGTTTTCTTACAATGCAACATTTAGTTTAACTTTAAAGGGGCCACTGCAGGTGTCCTACCTTCATACTTTTGTGTTCCCCATACCATCCAGAAAACATTTAAAGACCATCAAGAGAAGTTACTGAAGATAAAGATTCTTGGGCATTCTCAAGGATTGCAGAAGAAAGCTGAGACATCTCTCCCATTAAAATTTAGTTTTCTTATCTCTAGCAAATGGACCTAGAGATAAGAAAGAGCTAGAAGAGTATTCAACAGGGTATCAGTACCCTTGAGGATGACTCATTTCACCTATAAATCGGAAGACTGTCACCTAGTACAAATTATGCTTTCCTGTGACTGAATTTCTACTTCTCTATACTAGGAAAACCACTCTTGGCCCACGTTGCTCGTAGAATGGATGTGAGCTTCAAATAAGATAATATACTTGAATGAACATAAAGTTCAATTGCTAGGTTCTTTTCTGTTTTCAACCAGTCCAGACCTGATGCAGAGGAAAGGGTTGGAGTTAGGGAGATTTTTAAATCCTCGTATCCTTAGGAGTCTGATTTAATGGTGACTATGCAGGACTTAGATCGGAATGAAGGAGAAGAGAACTAAACCAAGGGTACCAGGTAGGGGTAGGGGGAGCCAAGAAGGAATGTTCAGTGGCAAAGAAAAAGACATGAAAAGGACTCCTGTCTAAGGTGGCTGTGTAAAACCCCACCCACATTGCGTCTGTAAGTTATACTGGATATTCTAGAAACTCCCAAGAAGAGCCTGAATTTCCATCATCAGCTACAGGGCCTTTAAAGGGTTGCTTGAGAATCTACACCTCATGAATGTTGACTATTATTCATTGGAATTTACGCAACTTCAACTTCTGTCAAACTTGATCTTCAACTTCTTAATTTGCAGGAGCACACTGAAGTTGAAAGTAATAAGGGCCATTTAAACCCCACTGTTGTGTTCCTCCTGGTTCCATACCCCATCCCACCCTGGCTAGTAGTGAGGAATAAAGGTAAAGAAGGGTGTAAAGAGATGTTGCAATGAGGAAATTTTGTTTCCGTATAAAAATTTCTATTTCTTTAGTCATTCCATGGTATTAAGCCTTGAAACTATTCTGGTTTCAACATGAATAAACAAAGGTCTTAGCAAAATGCATGGAGCTTGATATGAGTGACCTCAGCCTAAGAGCAGATAGACATTCTTCAGCTATATCTACAAATGATCTAGCCTTTTGTCCAAATGCAGATTTTTGAGATGTTTAGAGAAGAGGAATCTAATAGTTGAGGCTGATATATTAAACCATATGCATTAAGTCAGCTGCCCACATATTCCTTTCTTGCCTCTTAGCTAGTGATGGCAATAGGGTTGAACAGAGAAGAAATAAAGTATGTCCGGGATTTCTTCCTTTCTTTGCATCTATAGGTATCTTCTTGAACTCCACTGAAAAAATAATATTTAAAAACATAATGTTTTCTTTAGATCTTACTATTTTATAAAAACATGCCGATATTGGTAAACTCTGCATGACTGATAAAGGCTCGTAAATGAAGGGTCATGTCTTAGTCAGCTCAGGCTGCTATAACAAAATACCATGGATTAGGTGGCTTAAGCAACCAAAATTTACTTCTCATAGTTATGGTGGCTGGGAAGTCCAACATTAAGGTGCTGACAGATTCAATATCCAGTGAGGACCTTCTTCCAAGTTTGCAGATGTCTGTCTTCTTATTTTGTTCTCACATGGCCTTTCCTTAGTACATGCACTTGAAGAGAGTGAGATTTCTCTGTTTTCTTCTTCTCTTAAGGATGCTAATCTCATCAGGAAAGTCCCAGGGTTAGAGCTTCAACATATGAATTTGGGGGGAACACAAACCTGCCCATAACGAGGCATAACCCTAAAAATGAACATTAAAAAAAATGCTAACACACTTGTAATCTCAATGGTCAATGTAATGCAAAATTACTTTATTATAGATAAATTATCTTTTGTCATTCAATACTAATCTTCCTTCAGAACTTTACTCCAACATCATATCATTCAGGCTTCCCTGGGCACTTATTATTCTCCCTCCCTGACCCACCTATAATAGACATCAGATCTACCCAGGTGTTTCCTGCACATTTACTCCATGTATTTAATTGGTGCTTGACTCCTCACTGCTATACTGTAAATCATCTAATCTTATCCATCTTGGTATCCTCAGTGCCTAGCCGGCTGCCTTACACATGATGATAATAATAATGGCTAACCTTTACTGCATAGTTGCCATGTCCTAGGCACTGTACTAACTGTTTTCAAGTTCATTTTCTCATAGCACCGTCAATGAGGCAGGTTCCATTATTATTCCTGTTTGCAGATAAGGAACTTGAGATTTATGAAGTTAGATACTTTATTCAAGATCAAAAAGTTGAGAAATAATGGAGCTGGCTTTGAACCCAAGAAGACGCTTGATCTCAGGCTGTTAATCACTTCACTATTCTAAGTGCTTAATAAATGTCTGGGGAATGCATTTACTTTTTAATGAAGGATGAATGAAAAAATAAATGAACGAATAATTGACTTGATTATTTAGAGCTAGTGATAAAAGCTTTCAAATGAATTACCTAAAAGTTCATTCGTCAACCAATTGGACAATGTGAATATCAATTATTATACACTAACTGGCAACATTTGGGAGAATGGTTTAGAAACTGCCAAAAACAGTACTACTTAGTGAAGTCAGATATGATAAAGATAGTAGAGTTTGTTGTTCAGAAGGCTGTCTACAAGAGCATGAAAAGGAGGTTCATAAAAGACATAGAAACATATTGGGAGAATCCCCAGATTCCTTTCTTCTCTTGCAGTCTCTGGACATTTCAGTTCCTGGGGAAGTGGCAGTTTAGGGGTAAGTACAAAGCCCATTGATGTGTCCGAGTCCAGTAGTTATTCAGCCTCTGTTGTATATCAGATCACCTGGAGAGAGCCTTTTCCAAAAGTGGAGGGTTGTAGGAGGTGCAGTGGGACCTATTGAATCAGAATCTCAAAGGTCTTTTGAGTTGTGTTTTAAAGTCCCCAGGTGATTCGGCTACACAGCAAAGGGTAAGAGCCACTGCCTTTGATTATCTTCTCCCAGGCAATTCCTGAAATCCAAAGAAGATGGCAGAAAAGAAGTCCACAACAGTCACAGAGTTAGGTTGCTCTCAAAAACCCAAAGAAAAACACAAATCCCCATCCTGTTCAGGTCAGAGCCAATAATAAATAGCAATATGGCCAAAAGACATTTTGCCATGATGATGTCACTAAAACAAGGCTCTCAGAATCATTGGCAGTTTCTTTTTCCTTGACTTCTTTCCCCTCATAAAGAAACTATCAGACAATAAAGTTTTCTGCAGCAGGTATAGGAGCAGCGAAGGCACCTAACTCTATACTGGCCTTTCAAAATGGAACAGTCCTAAAAAAAAACAGAAATGTCATCAAGAATTATTCATTTTAGCGTCTTCATTAATAGATTAATGTGAGACCAGTTGTTCAACTCTAAATTTTCATAAATTTAGAAGTGATTATTAAAGCTTTGAGCAAACCGCCAGTGCATTTTTAAACATAATGTTTCAATTAATTTTTGGTCACTCAAGACTATAACATTTTTTTTTATACTTGTATGAATTTAAAATGACTGCTACATGTTGCTTTCTATATTCCTTTTCCAAACAAACATTTCTGTTTGTGTTGAAATCCAAGATGCAAACTTCCTGTTTCAAAAATATTTGGAGGAGGAGAGTACCAGCTGGGAGCCAAGTAGTTTGTGGGGAAAGCAAAGGATGAGAGACCTGGGGATATCTCACATTCGCACATCCCTTAGACTCCCTGGGTCTTGGTTTACAAATCCACAAACAGTATATGTGTGAGAGCAGAAAAAAAGAGTGTGTCGAACTGAAAACAAAGCCGGTACTAATATTCAGGTTTGAGCATATTAGCTTCGAAGGCTACTTTAGTCTTCGAAAGAGTTCTATTCACAAGCCACTGGAACTGGATTGTTCCTG